AAATAGTGATTTGCATATTTTTAGAAAGATGCAAGATCCGTGAGTATGTGAGGTTATTTCACCCTGACGTGGAGAAACATTTCCGAATCCCAGAAATGAGGAGTACTGAAGTCAACACTTGGTGTAAAAAAGCTTTAAGCAAAATACTGCGTTAGGTGCCTGAACCCCCATATTCAGCAGATCCAGAAGTCGTGGATTTAACCCCATGTGATATTTTTGCCAATATCTACAGTGATTGCCGCCACCGCTGAGAGTGTCAGCTTGCTTAGTAGCTTGCTTTTGTGTTTGTTAAGTAATAGTAATTTTATATGGGCTGGAAGGTATGGGGACCATCACAGGCACGAGCGGGTCAGTGGCCGTGCAGTCCCCCAGTGTCCCCGGGTGGGTGGCGCAGACCTGTGCTGGGCTGTGGGCTTTCTCCCCGGGGAACGCAGCCCAGTGCCCCCACTGCTGCCCATCACCCAGGGAGGACAGCATCCCTGCCACCTCCCCGGGTGCCCACGCCAGCCCTGCTCCTCCAGCAGGACAGATCATTAACCCCAAAAGCGTGTGCACCGAAGGAGGCTATTAATATGCAATCAGTTTTCTTCTCAATAGCATTTTGTTCTTTGCTACAAATGGTGCAACTTGAAGAAGTCATTTTTGTCACCACCTTTGGTGTAAATACTGTTACGGTAAAGACTAGTAATAGCAATTCTGGTATTTTTTTTTTTTCTTTTTAGTATATAAATTTTGCTTCTATTTAAGCCTTAGTCTTGAGTTGTAACAAAGCATAAAGTTAAAATGGTAAATCCCTCAGAAAAGGCCAATGGAAAGGTGGGCCATTTTAATTGTTTGTGACTTTAAACAGTAGGAGAGATTTGACTGTCACCATCTCCTGAAAATGAGCATCTACCTTCAGAGAAAGGCTGTAAGTTTGCCGCTGATACACTTTACTTTTTGAGTGCCACAAAGGAATTCTTCCCAGTATAACTGTGCATATGTCTGCACGTAGCCTTTACCATATAGCATAATAATACTCTGCACGGCTTTCACGGAGTATAATAATAATAAAAATACTCTGTTTACGTGCACTTTCATTATTTTGTAGCAGGAAAACTGAAGCAATATAAATTCATTTTTATAGTGGTTGGTGTCAGTTAATACATTGTTCTTCCAGAAGTAATGTATTGTAATATAAATTTCCTGTTAAGTTAGTGTAGAACAAGGTTTAGGTGACACTATTTGTGAATAACAATTTATTTGTGACTGTGACATAATTTAATGCAAATATATTGCTCTAAAATGAATTGGTCTGATGTCAGATTGATGGTTTGTGCTTTTATTATGCATAGTATTTATAAAAGTCCACCATCCCACGTGTATATAGAAGAAAAGATTATCAGCTATTCACTATACGAATATATAGCTTCATTAAAAGGGCTCTGGAGATGCATGTAAATTGTGAAAGAAGAGCTTGTGATGTTTCCACTATAAAACCTTGCTGAAATTCCCTTTGAACTTGTTTTATGTTACTTATATACATGTGCATTTTATGTTTGTATACTTTTTATAGGAAAAATGTTACTTTTTTTTGGCTTAAATTCGAAATCTCTTCTGAAACCCAGACGTCTAAATCCACCTAAATGATGTCTTTTCTTCAGAGAAGTGTAAATCTTGACTTGTTGGAAGTTTAGAATAGAATAATGCACGTGAAAGAAAGTGTGTTTACTGCTGTTGTCCCTGAGAGATGGTGGAGTCACACTTCACAAGGTCAGCAGATGGAAAGAAAATCAATGGGAGCAGAATCTTTTTAAAGAGAGGGCACAGAGGCCAAAAGGTCCGAGTCCAACTCCTCTAGCAGCTACTTACACTATTTGAATTATTCAGATACCTGGCTATCGACAGGGAATCTTAAGTAACGTACTTCACCTTAATATACACTTGTAATAGTCCTGAATGGTTTAATTTAGTACAGACTGTCCATAAGTCCAAGGGGAAGAAGGAGAGCTGTCGTAAGAAGAAGAATGGGAGTTGAGAAGGCAGCAAAGAGGCACTGTGGTGGGCAACGGAGCTTCTGGAGGTGCACTCACAGGTCTAAAGGAAACCTTTTGGGCTGTTTGTGAGGAGGTTTCCAAAAACTAATGTCAACACAAGGATGATGGTTACCTGACTGTTTTTCACCCGAGTCCTTGCTAAATATCGTATAAAAGGGAAGGCTCTTAGCACTGCTTCGGAAAGGTGAAGTTTAAGGTTTGTCTTAAGCCCTTCTAGTTTTGCTGGGAGTCATAGGGAATAGGCAGCAATGTCTGCCCACAAGGAGAGAGGCAGTTTGAGTCATCAAAGTAGTGTTACCAACAGGTTACCTTGCTGTTGTTCTTCTGTTGGTTTTTTTTGTTTGTTTCATGTGTTTTTTTTATTAATGTCAGCCTTTTTTAAATTTCTGTTTGTAACTAATACTGACCTGAGAATAAAGACATAAAAACACAAATGAGGGCGTTTAGGCATCATTTTCACTAACCTGACTGATAAATCTATGGGCCTGCTCACAGATACTCTGTTCTTTAAGCAAATTCGTTTGCTCCTGCTTTTCTGTTTCCTAGCTTCCCTCTGCCCCTTCGGTAAAGCTGTGCACTTAAAAGACTTTTTACTGTGGTTGAACTGAAAAATGGAAGGGAAAAAATAACTTCAGCCCCATCAAAACGTCTCTTTCAAACTAAAAATAATTTATATCCCTTTTTCTAGGCATTTGAACTTTTATTTGTTTCTTTGTTTTAATTCCAGTTGAGCTTTCAAATAATTTAAGCTGATCCCAAGCTGCGTTTTTGGTGAATTTGTGGGGGTGGGTGAGATTTGTGGGAATTACTGTTCTCTTTTTCTAAACACTTGCTCCCTTTTACTTTCTGGCCTTATTTTTCCTGGGATTCCCAGCAAGCTGCTCATTGCTCTGCTACCTTGTGCCCTTCCCATGCCAGTGGGAAGAGAAGCATGAAACTAACTGGGATCCTGTAGTTCCAGTCAGTTTAACATCGCTGCCACTGCCACAAGCGACAAATTTTATATTGCAGGAGAAGAAAACACAGTCATGCGATGTGATGAGCCTAGAGGCTTCTCCCACTTGGGTGTTTAAAGAGAAAATGTAGGAGCCTTTATGCAACCCTCAAACATATAGCCCTGCACCCAGTTTCAATTGAATATGAGATATGTTCTTTGAAAGCACCACACAAAAAGTATTTTGCAGGTTTTTGAGCAATAGTGTCTGTTTTCTTTCTACCTTGTGTGCTTTAACGTGCTTTATTGTCAAATGTCATATTCTGCGACCATGACTCGGTGCATTCCTGTGTTCTCTCCCAAACACAGATTTACATGCGTGTATGCGCATGCACACACACACGTGCAGGCATCTTCCAGGGAAAATGTTGTGTTCATCAGGGTAAATTCATACCTCACTTGGGATGCAGAGAAGAAAAACAGTAGAGCATTCCCATGAAAAGCAAAGTGTCCTACAGGGAGTCTCTCAATGCCACGAACAGCCCACAGGGGCTGTCATGGTGTGTCAGCCTTCACCCACTGCCCAGTCTGTACTGGGACACTGAAGCAAAGCAGCAGCATATGATTTTAGTTAACTTCTCCTAAGTCTTTGTTTGACAGATGGGTGAACAGTTTCTATGAAGCTCTCAACTGTTTACTTGTGGACTTTTTTGACTCTATTAATTTATTATTACTATAATGTGCCAAATTATGTTGTTTGTACCAAGGGTCAGATCATCATTTATAGCATCCACGTAGACTGAAACAAATCCCACTATTGGGACAGACCACTAACTCCTTGGTGCTGGTAGCACAGTGCCTGGCGCTTCCTTTGATCCAGCAGGTTTTAATTTATTTTTGCTCTTTGTAAAACTTCAGTCTGCTTTGATAATTAATATGTGAGAAATGTCATGTATGCTGCTCACTGAAAGTTGCATTGAAGAAAACAGTCTGATTAAGACGGGGAGAGAAATAGATGTCAATATATTAAATAGAAGTAACATTTTAGCTTGAAAGACTGCAGCTTTGGGCAACTTTGGCTTTTTGAGAGGGGAAGGCGTTTCTTTGGGTTCAGGGTTTCTTCAGGCACTCTCTTATCCCCTTCATTCAGCATGTATGTGTTCAAATCTAGGTGAGCTGCTGTGGTTAAAAAGGAACCGTATGTGTAGGCAAAAATATCTTGTAAGCTGAAATGGGAGATAACTCGGCGCTCCTGCCTGGTGTTGATGGGATTACCAGGTACTGTGAATCACTCGGGCAAAGAGGCCTGAGGTGACACTTCAGACTTGTTATTACACCAGGGATATTGGTTCCGTTTAAAATAAGAAAGTAGGGTCATCTTAGTGTGGTTCAGTTCAAAGCTTTCAAAATGTCCCTTATTGGAAAGATTTGAAGTGAGCAGTTTTGATCCTTCTGCAGCACGAGCACGTCAGTGGCTGAAAGAAGTGGCAGCTGAGCTGGTGTGTTTGCCCCGTGCCCAGCCCCCTCTTTAAACAGGGCTTTCTTTTAAAACAATAAATCATAAGAAAGGGTGACTGAAAACTATTTTGTAAGCATTTCCCTCGTTTGGAAGATGCTGTATAACAGAGGCTCTTCCTTTGCCTTTGATTTTTCTTTTTAAAAGGATTTTAAATCCATGTAGTCCTTGTCCTAAGATATGCTTATTACAGAGTTCAGTGATGTTCCCTGAAGTCGTAATCTAGCTCGAACTGTTTCCCCTGGCTATACTACGAGACAATTTGACTTTGCATGAAGTTTTGAAAACCGTATGTGGGGATAACGTTTCAACTTCATGCTCTCTCTGCACTGCGAATAACAAAATACACTTTGAAGTGCTTTTTCATACTCTCTACTGCTGCCTTTTGCATGCAAATGAATATTAATAAAAATAGACCCGCACTCACTTTTCATTTTAATAGGACGTTCTGTCATCTCTTTAATTTTTATGTCTCTTGGATTTCCTATTTTTAAAAGTTTTGTTTTGTTTGCAGTGCCAGGCCCTATACCTGCCAAGTCAGTGAAAGGAACTCCTTTTGAAGATAAGATCTTCCTCAACTGGAAGGAACCTGTGGATCCAAATGGCATCATTACTCAGTATGAGGTAATCATTAAACAGCTAACAAGCACAGGACAGGGCTAGGAATGTGCGGTAGGAGGAGTGGCTGACAGTGGGTGTTTATGCTCTGTAGACAGCTATTCAATTATATGCTTTCATTTACAGAATACTGGATTTTGTGTACAGATTAGATATTCATAGATAGTAATTATAGTGCATGTGTTCTTGGCTGGCCAGCCCTGTCAAGTGGCTTTGGCATGTGAGTATAACAATATTACAATCGATGTGGGAGGTGCTAGTTTTAAAAATCTTGTGTCATTACCGTAAAACCATCCAAAGACATGAGAGCCATGATCTGTGAAATCTTCTTTGTTGGAAGAGAAAGTTACATGAAAAGTAGATGGTTATTAAATTTGGAACAATATTTTTTAGCTTTGTCAGAGCTTTTCGAGGAAACTTCCATATATATTGTATTTAAAGTGTATTTAATATATGAGCATTTTGGGGACCTCCACAGGAGGCTGGCAGGAAACACGAGCTGATTTCAGGAATGAGCACCACCTTTCAGCACTCCTGTTATAAAGGAACAGAGAATATACTTTTGTGTACTAGTGAATTATAGGAGGCAAACAAACCAGCTAACCAAAAAAAAAACCCTTAAAAAAACATCAGCAAGTTTGCAGATGACACTAAGGTGAGTGGTGCAGTTGGCACGCCTGAGGGAGTATGCCATCCAGAGGCACCCAGACACGCTCAAGAAGTGGGCCCGTGTAAACCTCATGAGGTTCAACAATGCAAAGTGCAGGCCCCACTGGGGTTGGGGCAACCCCTGGTATCAATAGAGACTGGGGGATGAAGGGATTGAGAGTAGCCCCAAGGAGAAGGACTTGCGGGTACTGGTGGATGAAAGCTGGACGTGAGCTGACAATGTGCCCTCATAGCCCAGAAAGCCAACCGTATCCTGGGCTGCATCAAAAGAAGTATGGTCAGTAGGTTGAGGGAAGTCATTCTCCCCCTCTGCTCTGGTGAGACCCCACCTGGAGTACTGCGTCCAGCTCTGGACACCTCAGCACAGGAAAGACATGGACCTGTTGGAATGAGTCCAGAGGAGGGCCAGAAAAATAATCAGAGGGCTGAAGTACCTCTCCTATGAGGAGAGGCTGAGAGCGTTGGGGTTGTTCAGCCTGAAGAAGAGAAGGCACGGGGGAGACCTTCTTGCAGCCTTCCAGTACTTAGAAGGGGACCTACAGGAAAGATGGGGACAAACTTTTTAGCAGGGCCTATTGTGATAGGACAAAGGGTAATGGCTTTAAACTAAAAGAGTGTAGATTTAGACTGGGTATAAGGAAGAAATTTTTTATGAAGAGGGTGGTGAAACACTGGAACAGGTTGCCCAGAGAGGTGGTAGGTGCGCTTTCCCTGGAAACATTCAAGGTCAGGTTGGACTGGGCTCTGAGCAACCTGATCTAGTTGAAGACGTGCCTGCTCATTGCAGGGCGGGTTGGAATAGAGACCTTTAAAGGTCCCTCCAACCCAAACTATTTTATGATTCTATTCTATCCACCATACGAGCTGCTATGAAGAAAATTAATTCTATTGCAGTCAAAACCAGTACATTAAGATATCATTGCTTGGTTTAAATATATTAGCTTGGTTTGAACAGCATTTAAATATGATTATTAGAAGAGGAGAGGGAAAGGTATTACAGGAAGTGTAAAACAGAGGGTTTTGGTGGAGATGGGGAGGACAGTGGGGGTGTCCTAACTTAAGTGTAATAGTGACATTTTCCATACATGAATTAAAATCACAGAGAGAGATAAAGGGCACCTGCATAGCCTTTCAAGTGAAGCAGACTCTACAATAATACACATCAAGTCCTCATGGTATCCCCAAGATAGCTGGGTAGCTATATGAGCATGTGTCTCTTGTTTCCTTTCCAGCCAAGCTAACCTAATGCCCTTGTGCCAAAAACTGTGACAATTGTTACAAAAATAATTGTTTTCACAGGTCAGCTATAGCAGTATACGGTCATTCGATCCTGCAGTTCCAGTCGCGGGACCTCCGCAAACCGTGTCAAAGCTGTGGAACAGCACGCACCACGTCTTCTCACACTTGCATCCTGGTACTACTTACCAGTTCTTTTTACGTGCAAGTACTGTCAAAGGGTTTGGACCAGCAACCACAATCAATGTAACAACCAACATCTCAGGTAAAAACAAAACTCCAAAATTTAAAAAAAAAAAAAAAAATTAAAAAGGAAAGTGTGTTTAGGGAAATGTTTTGGGGATTTTTTTTGTCAGACTTGATAAACCATGGAATGGGAAAGAAACCCCCCCCAAAATCCTATCATGTTGTGAAACTATATTACTGAAAATGTTTTTGAGCATATTTGCGAAACAGTAGCGTAAGTTCAGGGATAAATCCTTGCATGAGGTGGAAATTGCACACCTGTAGTTGTTAACTGTTTGATTTTGTGTAATCTTGTACTTTCATCTAAAGATTTTGAAGTGCTGTATAAACCTTAACTAATTAAGCCTTACAGCACTCCATAGGTCACCAAGTACTGTATTTGTTTTGCAGATTAGTAAAGTCAGATGCAGAAAATCAACTGACTTACTCAAGGTGACACCACTTAGCAGCACGCTGCTATAGCAGAATTGGGGCGGTTGGGGCGAAGTGTGAATTTCTTTTGCCAGATTCGTATAGGTCTGCTTCCTTGTGCCTTTATTCACTTACTGCAGTGCACCAAGATTGACACTGTTCATCTTAATAATGCACTGCAAACTCTAGAAGAAAGTAACGTCAAATTGAATGCTTTAGCATTTGTATTTTCTTAAATTTTGGTATTATTCTCAAAAAATAATTAGCTTTTGCAGTTGATAGCAGAAGATAGGTCAATGCTCTATCTAGAGAGACTGTTGATTTTATGACGCGGTGACTTCAGAGGTTGGCAAAGATCAAAGAAGCCAGTCATTTAGAACTGTAAACAGAACAAAGCAGGCTATTTTCCTTGTCTGCCATAGTGAAACTTTTGTTGTCCTGTAAAGAGAAGTTAATAATGTATCGGAACGCACCTACTGTTTCTATGGGAAACTATTCACGTAGTCTCCTCACCCAGTTCCCCAAAACATGCCCATAAATCAAAATGTGAGAAAATTTAAGGCAGAGCTCCTTGAATTATGTAACAAGTGAAGTGCTGTATTTGTTGAATTTAGCTGGAACAATTTGTTGAATTCCGTGCCAGCACATAAGCACTAGCAGTCCTCATACCCCAGCCCATTAAAAAATAAACCAACCAAACTGCAAAAAAAACCAAAACCAAATTACATGTTCTGTTCTGTTTATCTAGCTATTAGGTTGGCTTGAAGTCTAATATTTTACTCAGGTTGTTTTAAGGTCTTTGTGTTTCTTCATAGCAAATTCCAGTTCTTAAATTTTCAGGGATAATGGGGGTGTAGTACTTGCATACTTGTCTTCCCACCTCTTTGTAGCAATAAAAAGAAAAGGTGTAACTATATAATACCTTGCTAGCATGTCTGTTGCCCAGACATTTCAGTATTTTGAGAAATAAGCACATCAACATGTTTGGATTATTTAGAACTACAATGTGTTCAGGCTTCTTCAGATATGCCCTCTTTTTCCACCCACAAATTTGGGGAATTTTGTCCAGAATCCAGTCTACCACACTTTCTAGACACAGTGCGGGTCTATTAGTTGGCAAAACATGGTTAATACTAGGAAAGCTTAAAAGGAGGCAGTGACACCTTTTGTATCTGAATTTCAGCCTGTTTGTGGTTTTTTTTCATCTTGCTTTAGGCTGAACTGTTGTATAGTTTCGCTGTGCATAACTGATACTTTTTACAAAGCAATGCGCATGTTTCAGGAAATGCTAGCTTTATTTTAATGAGGAGTGAAATTTTTCCTTTTAACCAAGCTTACAAGTGGTTGTCGTGATCCTAGTAAACATGGTGTAAATACTAATTTATAAATGAACATTAAATGAACATTATTTCTATAAAATAATATTTCCTGAAATAAGAGCAATTTATATGTTCATCTAGGATCTGGAACTAATGAAGCAAGGCTTTTAATCTTTCAGTGCTCTTCTATCTATTGATGTATTATTGTAAAATTATTATGACTTAAATGATTGAGATCCTGCTACAAAACATCTTTTTTTTGTGAAAGTTCTATTTGAAATACACCGGCATCATTAACAGTTTTATAAAGATACAGCCACATATGAAAAAAAAAAAAAAAAAGAAACAAACCCACACAGATAGTTTTTAAGCTTTTAAAGATCAGAAAATCCTGTTTCTTTTCTTGCACTAGACCTGAAGTCAGTAACAGTATTAGCAGTGAGGGCTGTAACAGGTTGGCGGCAGCAGATTAAAGTTGGATGGTTGAAGTAATCACCAACACCAGCCGTCCAACCCACAACAAATATTGCTGCTATGAAGTCCCGACAGTTCCTGAACTGCTTCTAGTTTTGACTTTGTTTTTGTTTTTTTTCTTAATACCCTGGGCTGAAAACTGCAGTAGTTCAGAAACTGATTAATGAACAGCTTGGCCATCTGTTGTTAGAAGTGGAAGGAGAAATGGGCATGGAAATAGACTCCCCAATCCACCTCTAGTCCACAGATGCATGTCTATCCAAGCCCAATTTTCCTGTGCTCTGGTTGGTGTTTGCATGTTCTCCCATAACGTTTATGAGGAAATGTGAAAGGTTCTTAAATTGTTGGAGGAAGATAAAAAGAGGTGTTAGAGGTTGGGTCTTCGAGATGGTAAATATAGTTGTTTATAAGGCAGAAAGAGCGAGGCGAAAATGGGATTTTGTAGCCTTAGAGTTTCTTGGCAGTCACCTCCTTGCTCTATTTCTGCCCTTCTTGAATAAACTGTTTAACTTGATAGGTATCATATTTTGAAGGGGAGCAGTTAGGGATGGGGTTATCGATTGGTGAAGTCCCATTCATACTCTAGTAAAAGATTGTGCCTGACTGGAAAACCCTTAAAAAAGACTCTCGTAGCTGATGAAGATTGTAGCTTCGTACTGTTTTGTGAACAGCCACAATCTCGTGAAAATTCAAAATTTTTTCACTGATTTGTTTCTTGTTCTTTTCCTTCCCACTCAACGTTAATCAGCTCCCACTTTACCAGACTATGAAGGAGTCGATGCATCTCTCAATGAAACTGCTACTACAATAACTGTGCTCTTGAGACCAGCACAGGCCAAAGGCGCACCTATCAGGTAAAAAAAAAAAAAGAGAGATAAAAAGAAATTTTTAAAAGAATCACAAAGAGATTTTTAAAGTTGATTTTAGGCTGTCTTGCAGCTCATAGAGCTGTTCATTTCCAAGTGATATTCATTTGACATTACTATTGTTTTTCTTAGCTAGACTGAGCTTGCCAATAGATCTGTAATTAAAAAGAAAAAATCTTGGTTGGTTTTTTTTTGTTTTTTCAGAAGATAGTAATGACCTGAATCATCCAGCTGTCTGTCCTGTTTGATTTAGGGTCCCCAGGACCACCTCCTATCCGTTATCATTTCATTTTACTTTGTCACAGTGTCTCTGAAATACGAGGTTGAAAGGTGTTTGTCAGACAGTGGATTTGAAAATAGCACTTCCTCCCCGGTGCTTCAAATCAGCTATTCTATAGCATATATGTATGATTGGAAAATTGGAAGCTCAGAGGAAATGGGAGAATAATAGTGATGAATACAAACTATTTGACCTTTTTCCTGTCAGAGTTCTTCTTACTAGAAATCATGTAGCAAGCTATTAGATTTTATTTGGCATGTCCCATAATCATATTAAAATGTTTCATTTATGCTAACTTTGAGGGGTCTTTCCCTTCTGCTCTCTGTTGAGAGATAATTTAATTCTATTTGCAAAGATTAGCCCACATCCTGCTCCTTACTTCTACTTGTTAGTGCAAAAATTTTGTGATATTATTTGATTCCATTTGTGTTTTACTGATGCGGCCGCATCAGCAATATTCAGGAACAGGATTGACTAATTGGGGGTTAATTAACTACTGAGCATCAGAAGCTTTTCATGCTCTTACCCTTGTGACATTTTAGAGAAATACAGGCTAATGCATTTCATTCTGTGTCACATTAAGTCAGTTACCGTAGCTCAGCTGATGTCGAGTAATGTGCCTGAGCCCTAAAAGTAGAGCAAAATTAACTGTTTCTTAGTCTGTTTCCGTTAAGAGGAATGTATGTTTTACATGGATGTTGTGGGAATGAGTCACGTACCTATAAGCATTTTTATATGCTTATCATATAGTCACCCTTAATGATTGATATGATCGGGTTTTTTATTTATATTCTGTCATAGAAGATAATCCAGATTGATGCCCTTTATAGGAGATACTGATGTGTTATATTCATAAATAAAATTGCAACCCATACATCATTAGTTTCTGAAAGATTGCCCTGGAGCAAACCTAGGCTTTTTTGGGGTGTGAAGCATGATAAAATGTACAGCACTATATTCAGTACAGGATTTGGCTTCCTAAAATAGGGAGTCTGATGAATTGATACAGTAGAAACCAGACCTGTTATCTGAAAATGCTCCTAAGTTATGCAGGTGCTTAAACTCACTATATGCCTTTGTAGGTGCTTGTAAAGCCTTCCAGGTGTCCTGCTGCTGGCCGTATCCAAAGCTCTGCCTGTTTGAGAAATGTGATATCTCTCTCTCATCTAATCCATGCCAAATCCCTTCAGTCTTTTGCCTGGTCCCTCGAGGGGGCCGGTGCGTGGGCTCGCCCGGAGCATGCCTGCCACACACCACTGGGGTCTGCTGACAGTGGTGTACATCTTCTCGTGCAGCAACTGGTCTGTGGCACGTTTGTGCAGACAGCAGTGGGGTCCCACCACTCACCCTGAGGGGGGCCAGTCTCACATCCCGGGTTTCTCTTCTGAGGGGTTTCTTTTGTGAACCAGTAGCGTGATGGGATGCAGCTAGAAGATCATTTGTACCTGGCTCAGGGAGCTCTGGCTTCTCTGCACTGTACTGCCAGGCGAGTAACAGTGCAGAGTAAACCTGCAGGACACCGCCTCAGATTTATTCTCTCAATTTTCCATAGAGCATCCTCAGTTCTGTGGCATGAGCTTGTCACTATGGGCTATGAAGATGGCAAAAAGGATTTTACGTACTAAATGTTAATGGATAGTTTGATAGGGATAGTTTGATAAATTATGAATAACTGTTGAGTATGTTCTTAAAAAAGAATATGTCTTTCTTCCTCTCTCCCATCTTCCCTCTCTACTTTAATTAATTTCTAAAACCTAAGAGATTACATTAAATTTCTAACATCAAGAGGCCAAGGAAATAAGTCCTTCACTATAACCGGAGAGCTGTGCTTTATTCTTAAAACAAACCAGGTGTTTTATTCCTTACTTGGGGCGAGGAGCATTCTCCAGGGAATACAGAAAACATGGTCCCGTTCCCCTTCCTGAAGTTATGCATATTGCAGTCAGGTGTTTATCAGCAGCTTCTTAATAGGGGAGATAAATGCAGCATGCTGAAATTCTGAATTGATTCAATGCATTTTGCTAAACTTGATGATGAGTTTTAGTGACGCTTCACTCCATCCACACTGCAGTTGTGTTTCCGCTACAAGCTGGCTTGCTGCCGTAATGAGTGGTGGGTGGGGAAAAAATGCATCGCCGTGCCTGAAGCTGTTATTGAGTAGAAGGGACTCAAATGCTGTTCTTTAGCCTGAAACTGAAGAATAGAGTTAGCTTTTTAAAAAGGCTTGTTTGCACCCAGTCCTGTAATCCCTGGAGGTTTACATGGTCAAAAGATCAGTTTGTTTAATAGCAGTGGGTCCATGTCCTTTTTTAGGGGGGAAAAAAAGAAAGCTTTGTCTGATACTCTTCTGTTTTTACAAAGAGAATTATACTATGATTAGATTTTGTTGTACCTCAGCCTCTCCATCAGCACAGCCCCCCAGGAAACAGATGTTCCTTAACTCAAGTGAAATCTATGTGTGGCTGTCAATCATTTCTTTAAGACACTACATGCCACAGTCATCACAGTTTAAACATGACTCTAATCATATCTTCCCTGTCAAGTGTTATCATGTAATCTCTAGCATTTTTTATGGCCTCCTGAAGTTTTAAACCAAATTACAGACTAGAAATGCAAAGTGAGACAGGGCAGGATGGCTCAGGCTCACTGTGAAGCACATACCATTTCACCATCAGTCTCGTGGATGAAATCCCAGTCAATAGCATCAATGGTGCTTCAGTGATTCATTTGAAGATGTGATTTGTCAGTGTAGTTTTTCTGAAGGGTCCTAACAGCATCAGCAAAACAATCTTTTGTTTTCATATCCTCCTGCAGATTAGGATTACAAAGAGCATATATCATAATCAGCGCAGACAACTTTTTAACAGTTAAATTTATTTTATTTGTTTGGTAAAGTGTTTTTCTTATACCTCCATGTGCACAATCAGGTTGTTTTCATTTTGCAAGTCGGAATTCCAAGAGCTGGGGTTGTAGCTTGGGCTGTCAGTCAGTCTGGCACCTGTCAAAGGAAAGGATGCTGTGTCTCCACTAGATGTGTAGAAAGAAATCTCTAGCTGGTATTAAAGCCTAGTCAGAATAAGGCTGAAGTATGAACAAGGTGTTCACCACTGCTGTACTTCTTTGGGAGCCTGAATTTTTAGGGAGGGGTGAAAAGCAAGATCTGTTGGCCGGGGCCTCCTTTGGCTGTTTGTAATCATCTTGGTCAATAAGGAGGCACTGTGCAGGTTTTCTTAAGTAAAAAAACCAACATTTTTTTGACATGAGGAATAATTTTCCATCCTGCAAAATCTCAGCTGAGAGCTCTTCACCTGTCATATCTTCAGTACTTTCTCCGCTTACCTGACTGTCTCAGACAACTGTCTGGTCTTTATGATCCCTATGACTTATGTAGCAGGTTCTGAAATTTGTATTACTTTTCAGAATAGCTCAGAATTTATTTTAGTCGTCAGGGAGAAGGAGTATTTTCATCTAGGTTTTCCACTCCTCCCTCTTTATTTCTCTCTTTCATTCCTTCTTTGCTGTACAAAAAGACTGGGGAAAATTGCTATTATAGGAATTCCCTCAGCTCCAGTCACAGGAAAGCACTCTCAATAATTGAATTCTCACCATTACACAAAAAATGTGTAGAAAATGTAAGATAATTGAGGCTCGGATTAATAATATGTAAAAATGCAAGGATAAGCAGAGTACAGAGCCTTTAAACTTTTGCTTATAGCCTGATATCAGACCACATTTGCAGCCAGTGAACACTTTTCAAGTTGCAAATTTAACTTTGGTTTCTTTCTTCACATCTTAAAGCAGGGTGTCCTTTCTGAACACTATTTTGTGTCCACAGAGTAACAGTGCTGCTTTGGAGCCACTATAGTGTTTAGTAAATGGGTTTAAACAGGTGGTATTGCAAAGGGCCCAGAGGTAAATGACTGTATTCCTCCATGGCTTGTTAGGCTATAGTGTTGCATGAAAAATACTGCCAGATCCCCCTTTTAAAGAGGATAGGCATATCTTTTATTTAAAAAATACTTTGTGGGAAAAAAAAAAAAAAAGCCTTGTTGGACACTTTAAAGACTTTCTGTCATTTACTATTTTTTCTTCAACTAAAAGTAATTGTACAAATGCAGATGGCTGCAATGCATATATCTATTTCTTATTTTCCACATTTTGTAGCTTTTCAGATGTAGGGTCCCAAAAAGCTTTATTTTTGGAAGCATATTTTGTGTAAATTACTATATTTGAAAATTTTTCAGAACCTTCACATTTTATTGTGGTTGCATGCTTAAAATTTTTCCATACCTTTTATATCACAGTCAAAACTTACTGGATATTTTTTAAAGAATGCTATTAAAAGAGGCTTTCGTAATATTTAACTCTCATATGCCCTTCATCTTTGATTTTTGATTTGTTTTGGTCTCCAAAGAGGCTTGACCCTTAAAAAGGAGATGGGCCTTAAAAAAGAGGTACCTCGTTTACCCCTTGTTCTGTAAAATAAGGGGGAAGAAAAGGGGGTTAATTTGGTAGCTTTGGTGGCTTTCAGCTTCTGAGCTGTGTGACAACCTGGGCTGTCCCCAGGGATGGTTGCTTCCATCACACATAGGTGTCACGCTGTCCTTCTGCTCTCCCTACTGGCTTTCTCCTCCTGGGTTGGCAGGCTGTCGCAGATGACAACTTTCCTGCTCTCCTGGCACTTCGGAGAGCACAATTTGTGTCGGTCCCTGTCCGGTGGCAGCCCGTGAGAGAAGACTGCTGAAGGGAGGGAGCAGAGACACAGCGGTGCCTGTGTTCCCCGTACTGCCCAGTTTAGCAGCGGTGGTTTTAACCCTGCCTGGGTCCAGGGCCAGGCCAGGGAGGGAATGAACGCCAGTGGTCATTTCTTCCCTTGGGACATTATAAACAAAAATTATTTTTAGTATTTTACATCCTGTCAAGTTTGTAAAATATCAATGCTTTTAAGGGGTTTTTTTTTGCTAGTACATTAATTTTGAAGCGTAAAGAAAGATTCTGGGTCCGCAGGGGTCTTGTGGAAGTGATTTGTTGGTGCAGGCCACATTAACTGGACATGGTTAATATATAGAATTTACTACAGAAGGTTATTTATAACCAAGCTCAGTTCACAGACAGTTTATGAGAAACAGAGATCCCTGGAACTAACTCCTCATGGTTTTGTTTACATTCTTCTTTTTACCTAGAGTTTCAAAAATGAGGGGACGTGGAAAGGGAAGAGGCTTTCCTTCTTAATTTTTTAGGTGCTAGGAAAAGGGGATGCTAACTACTTCTTTCAGCTCAAGAAAGACATGAAACTAATGTCTCACTTTTTCTTCTCCTTTCTTCCATTCCCCAGTATCATACTTCATCTCTGCCACTACAGTTATTGGGTTTTCTGGGCAGTAGTAGCCGAGAAAATTGACAAAATAATTTAATGCTGTCCCATAAGTTCTGAAGTGAGGAGGATTGTCTTTCCCTTTGCCTTTCAGAGTCCTGCAGCAATGCAGTGAAGTTTCGAGAACTCCATTCAATTTTACTTTTTCTGTTTAGAAATCTTTAAAACAAAACCAAGACTGGCAATTCTGCTAGTTTAATTGAATAGTTTCAGGTCTTGTCTGCATGCTTAGGCATATTTTCTTGCTAATCTTTCATAAGGTCCTCAAATGTATCTGCATATAAATGAGAAATTGTGTGCACGTATACACGTGTGTGCATATGTGCACATGCATACATACAATTCTTAAAACGAAAAAAACTATTTATTTTTTTTTTTTACTGTTTTTCTTATAAACTGAAGTATGTAAGTTCTGTACTTCTGCAGAGCAGAGGAAGCTGATAATGAGTTAGTAACATCCTGCAGTTAGGTAATTCCCCTAAAGGAGAAAGAATTATGATTACCTGTTCTATTTTGAGCAGGTGATTTTGAAAAGTGACCACGCCATGGACCATTTCAAGAGAGGTATTGGGAGTTTGGGATGGCGTTTTAATAGGCCAAATGCCATCTGCTTCAGCAATTTGTAACATTTTATCATTGACAACAGTAGAGGAATGAGGCAGTCTATTTTGGTGGAATGGACAGATTTCTGTCCATCTGCGCTTGTATTAGAGCATGTCACTTGTACTTTAGATCTGCATAGCTCTGAGCCAAGATAGAAGCCACAGCAAGGTCAAGAGGTGGAGAAGCCTGTCAGCACATTCTGTCTCTAATGATATGACAACTGCAAATTGGTGCTTCAAGCACAGCCTGGAGGCAGTCATTTTGTTGGGCCTTGAAGCTCAGCTTTCTCTAATATTGTTTCAAAGGAAAATGCTAACTTCAGATGCTTCCGATGAGCCAAGAGTTTAATCTATTGTAGTTTAAAGTCAGATTCATTCCTGTGTTTCTTCAAAAGAAAAAAGCCTTAAAAAAATCATCGTTAGGAGGTTGTGTATAGATTTGTATTGTTTTTCCTTAATAAAATGGATGCTGCTTCTTTCCAATGGCTGAATTAGATAGCTTTGCTATATTTCAAGCCTTTGTTTCTTCTCCCCACATGCATCTGCTGTCTTTTCCTTTTTTCTTTTTAAGTTCACATGAAGCAATGGGGTTAATATTTTTGTGAGACTTGAGATTTGACCCTAGCAGGTGACCTTAGAGTTATGCTGGTTTTCCTCTGTCTCACTAGTGCCTACCAGATTGTTGTTGAGGAGCTGCACCCGCACCGAACAAAGCGAGAAACGGGTGCCATGGAGTGCTACCAAATCCCCGTCACCTATCAGACCGCTCTTAGCGGAGGGTCGCCATACTACTTTGCAGCTGAGCTGCCCCCAGGAAACCTGCCGGAGCCAGCCCCCTTTACCGTGGGTGACAACAGGACTTACCAGGGTTTCTGGAACCCACCGCTGGCTCCTCGGAAAGGCTACAACATCTATTTCCAGGCCATGAGCAGCGTTGAGAAGGTGAGTGCCAACCACACTTTTCTCTTGGACGGAGTCAAAGACATGCCCGTGTCAAAGTTGGACGTAGTAGGTGGTGGCAGTGGCACTGCTGGAATCCCTTCCGTGCTGTGACAGCATGGCAGCATGCCCTTCACGTTTCACACTGCCCTTGTATCATAGTAACTGCCACTAGACAAGAGTTTAATACGTCTCGTAGTAGTTGTCTGAGCAAAGTAATTTCAGTGCTGTGACTCTGCCTTCTCGGTAAATAACATCCACGAGCCCTTTCCCCAGTTCTCGGTACTTGCGCGCTTCAGAAGATTAAATTACTGCAGGATAAACAGAATGTGGGCTGCTCAGCGGGCTAATAAAACGTTACAAACTTTTTGAGACTCTCACACTAAGCATCAAATAAAAAGTAACAGTCTGCTTGAGCACAAGTACCCCCAGGCCCAGGTTGCGTTTACCAGATCCTTTCTGCACAGCTGTACTTCAGGCTTATTCCCCTGCTGTGCAGTAGTAGAAGCACGGCTGTCTGTCACCTGCATTACCTCCTTGGTGTCTCATTTTTAACTCTGTTGCTGAGTACCGCTGCTGGCTCTGTATGCGCATGGAAGGGGGAAAAGCACCAGGGAGGGAGATTCCAGGTGGGAAGCACAACTGTGGCTCTGCAAGCCCCGTGCTGTTGCTCTTGAATGTTTTTTTCCCTCTCATAAATGAAGAGGGAGGGAGGGGAAAATGATCGGTGAGGAGGGAAAACGTGGTAGATGCAGAAGCTTCAGATACTTAAAAATTTTAAATTTTTATTTACAGTTTAGAAAACCGAAGGAAATTGCAGTAATATGTCGGTAGGAGTCTCCGTATGAAGTGTCCAGGCAGGTCAGAAAGGAACTAGAAAGGACAGCTAGAGTGGTAGCCGCTGAGACATGCCAGAGCCATGGGAAAGGAGCAGAAGTCATGTTTAACCTTCCTTATGTTTGGGTCTCTGCGGTGACTAAATAAATCCTAGCTAACAGGCAGCCTTGCCTCGGAGCCTTTTGAAGAAAATCTCACCTTCCACGTATGGTTACGAAAATTGCATATGCTTCGAGTCAGAATGGGGGCAAAGCAGGAGCTAGTGAAATTGTACTGAAGCTGCTTGAGAACTGGGTGCTTTTTCTGATGGAAAAGACCATTCCCTCTTTTTAGTTCTTATCTGTAGACCTGTATGAAGCAAACAGAGAAAAATAAAAGGTAACTGCTAGACACTCATCCATATTTCCCTCACCTGCTACAAATAATTCCCTTTGCTTTTGTTAGCTTCCAGCAGACTAAATTGTAAGGAAATTTGTTTCATTCCCCAAGAAATAAATGGGAGAGAAAAGTAAAATAAAAATATTGAATACAAAACCAGATCTTTATTTTGGCCTTTACATTTTGACAGATAAGTAAAAGGTTGAGGGAAGAACACATTTTTTATTTTAACTTGATTTCGGTTTGTGAGAAAGTTTAATCCTAAAATGTTTTTCTCTGGTATGATTTAAAACTTTGGATTTCTGTTCCAAGGGGGATTTGGGGGGAGGTTTTGGGTGGATTGCACCACATTCTGTTGGGACAGAGATCTAGTGTTTGTAAGATAACCTCTGAGCTGCAGAATATTTAAACAAGCACTTTACTATAAACTACTGGGATCACCAAAATAGTCAAGGGGAAGTAAAGTATGCTCTGAAATACACTATAGGGTTGGGATGAGGGTTACTCTGTGGTCTTCACAGACATTTTGAACAAAAGTAGACAAGTAAATGGGGAGAATGCTAATTAATTAAGATTACATGGATAAACTTTGCATGGCTTGCATTTAGATTGAAAAATTGTCTTTATGGAGCACTTATGGGAAGCCTCAACTCACAGCTTTACTCATTCTTTACAAGCTGTGTTTACAAAACATCATCAACATATTTTACCTGGTGCTTGGGAATCTTCAAGAGGAGAGAGATCCCAGGGGACGTATTTGGGGATGGAGTGTTGGGGGGTGCAGGACTAGAGGGAGCATATTTTATAGAATGAAACTGTCATTATTGTATTTTCTAATTACATGTTAATATTATTTAGAGTGATCTAATACAACAGCAGCTGCATCTTCTCACACAACCTTATGCTGTTTCAGTATGTTTGCCTTTAAAATGACTGCACATTGTACAAAAAGGTCAGAAAACCCATTTATGACTGACCTTCATCTGTTCAAGTTGTCCAAACTGTGCATAACCAAGTCATTTCTCTGTTCATTTGTTTTGATTGCTGACCAAACTTCTGAAGGGGAGAAAAAAAAGCCAAATACGTATAAATTGTGTTTGCCTGTGCAACTTCTGAAGCACGTGGCTGTCAAATCACTGCCTTTCCTGGGCAGATTATATAGGTTGTAGGTTGTGTTATATGTGAAGGGATACCTGGGCTGCTTCTGTGCTTGTTCCACACTCAGAAGCATGAGGGAGCGTGTTGCTGATGTGCTTCAGGTGACTCTGTTCAAGACTGTCAGGATGCAGCAAGACATAGTTTGGAGGCAGCGCTGAGCAAATGTACCTCCTTTGCTGCACGGAGCTGTTGGAGGACAACACTGGCTCGGGATTTCTGTGCCATGACATAAATAGGAGCACCAGTCCTCCCCTTTTCTTTCGCTGCACCCTCTTTCTCTATTCTTATGGCACGGTTTCCATTTGATTTGAATAATCAGAAATTTTGCTACGTTTAGGCTGTCATGCACCTTTTCTCCCCCTCATTATCCTGGATGGTACAGACCAGTGTCTAGGTTTCACCCAGCTTTTGTAAAGGCAATATCACCCAGCCTCCTCCCCTGCTGAGCCCAGAGCCCTGAGCCACCTTGTTGGGTTGCCCCACCTGATCAGCAGGTCTAGGATGAATTTATGGAGTGGGGAGGGCAAAAAAAAGCAACCTGATCTGACTGTTTTCTTTACTTTTCCCCCCTCAACAGGAAACCAAAACTCAGTGTGTTCGAATAGCTACAAAAGGTAAGAGGTTCGTCCCTCCATGCAAAGTAGCTTTTTTTTAAATGAAACGTGGCATTTCTATTAAACATTTGAACCAAAGTCAGTACTATCCTTCTATTTTAAGCCACTTGATTGTCTTACGATGTAATGGGCTACTGATTTATATTCTTTGGTATTGAGCCAAGAGAGTACTGTTCTAGCAATACTCAGAATTTAGACAAAATTAAGGACTCCTCTTTTTTTTCCTCCTGTCTCTGTTTTTCAAGATCTGCTTTTAGGCTGCTGGAGCATTGCAGGCGGCAGATAGATGGACTGGAGACTAGAAAGCACACTTGGTTAAACTGTCTGTTATGCTAACAATTATTTCCAAGCAGAGGTGGAAATAATTTAAATGAAGGACACAATAGTTAATTTTCCTAAGTAAGAGGCCAGAGTGTTAGCAAGACATAGGGGAGGGCTGATTTGAGCAAGGCTCCTATCTGTGATAGCAAGCGAGGCCCAGGGCTAAGACTGGCTGCATAGCTGTGAGAATAAATCATAGTGACCCCACATACAGCGGGTTAATCACGTACTGCTTACTCAAAAATGCTTTTTCATCTTCAAATGAGGACTTAGTTGTTCTGCTTATTGTTATCTCTTGCTTCGACTGTGTTTATAGCCATTCATTTTGGTTGCTTGATGGTGTCAACATGAGAGTTATTTTATAGACTCCAGCAGCATAAACAAGAAAGGAGCTTACAAATGCTGAAACATTGTCTCTTTCTAATTACATATTGATATTCAGCATAAAAACAACTTTAGATATGAGTAAGCAGACATTTAAAGTACTGTGGTGGCACATCAGCATCATTTTTTCAAGCACTTCTTTCAATTTAAAAGTTGTTTCAATTAAAAGCTGATGCCTCTAATGAGGTGGTAGCAACAAAGTGTTTTCTTGAGAAACCAGAAAATAAAATGTACTTCTCAAGATGTGTTAATATTTGCAGTGGAGTGAGGTTGGCTAATAAAAACAGGAAATTAAAACCATGAGCTAAGTCTTCTGTGAAAAGTACATCAGGATTATCTTTCTTATGTTTACCTGGCAAGATTACATGTTTGAATTAAAATATATTTGCATAAAAAAATATTTATGTACCACAAGTATGTATTGCTAGGATTTGAGTCAAGGGAGAGTCTTGAAAGGCTCAGAAATATCCTAAAATACTGCAGAGATATGGAATGAGAAAGAGGAGAGCAGTGGTCTCCCATAATTTTCTGGATAGAATAACAAAATGGGGAAAAAGTTCGCCCAGCTTATGAGGAAATTATTCTTTACTTAACCATATTCAGTCCACCAGTGTCAAAGCAATGTTCTTGGCAGCAATAGTCTTGGTGGGTGCTTGTATGCCTTCCTCTGCCGTAACAGTCACCTGCACCCCAGTGGCTGTAGTCTGAAGGAAAGGGGCAATGAGTAGCACGTTTCTTAATTGTGCAATAAATCTGGCCTTTGCCACTCTGGCTAAAGACAAGTTTTCCTGAAGTAACTGCATTGCCTGATATGTCAGTACTCTACTCCTTGGATGTGGAACTGAAAAGCAAAATGTTTTCTCTGACTTTATTTTAATTGATAGATGTGAAGGGGGGGGGGGGGGGGGGCACAAAACGGGGAAAAACTCTTGGGGGGGAGGCAACATTAGGAGCAAATGCTTTCTCTTGCTCTGAAGGAATGCATGTAATAGGGATTTATCACATCAAAGTCACATGCATTCATACCTCTCAAACGATTTATACTAATATTCTAAATAATTTTTAAAGAACTGCTACTGATTTTTTTTCCCCAGTTTTCATCATAAAAATAGTACCACAATTTGTTGTACTTGAATAAAAGTATACTTAATATGTTCATCTGGTCATGCCGATTTTTTTGTGGTGTGTAAGTTTGCTTTGAATCATTGACCTAGGAGACATTTGGTTATATTTGGTTATATTAATAGGGAAAAGAGGACTGTCTAACCTTACCTAGTGCACCCCAGTAAAGTTAATATACCCTTTTAAAATCCAGCAAATTGCCCAAACTATGTATTCAGTTATAAAAGTAATATGTAGTTCTGTGTCATCTCCTGTGACTTGAAGCAGGCTACAGCTGGCCAAACTGAATTTTTGCCTTGAACATGTTGAAAAGGCATTAAAAATTGTAAAGAGCTGAGGTCAAAGTCAGGGGAGAGGAACGACATTAAAGGTGCATATTAAGGCAAGAAAAAAAATCCCTGTTAGTGAAGTTCAGTATTACCAGCAAAGGTACTTCCTCATTTTTACCTCAGTCAAGGATCTGGTGTTATCTGCTGTGTATATTCAAACTACAAAGATGTAACCATAGAAAAAAAGATACAGCAGTAATGTCATGGTTTAGTGCTGGAGAAGTTCATATCCCTGAATTTATAATCTTGATAATTTAACGTTCTTAAATGTGTTATTACCCTGACTAATTTTTTTGTTTGCTTGGGCAGTTCCCTATTAACATAATTTATATGTATTTTAATGCGTAAGGGGTTTTGCACGTATCATTCCCATGGGTTGCCTTCTGCCCTTGAGAATTGATGGAATAGTTTATTTACTGGTGTCAAACTAATGAAAGTCAGCAAATTTAAATTGAAGCGCTCATACCTTTTCAGTCCATATATTCCAGGTGCAATGTTCTCGTGCATTTCTGATAACAACATACGCTGAAATGTGAACTCATGTAAAAAGACAGTGCCAAATCATGACTATGTATGTTGCTGCTTTTGGTGTGTCTTGAAAAAAATGTTTTTTCCAGTAAGCTGCGAGGCTTACTGGTGTCTGGTGTATTAAAATACACTGAATTAATTTTTCGTGGAAGAAAATATTAGAACGGCACCAGATTAAAAAGTGGTCTCCTGAGCAGTTCCTGTGTTCTTGCAGCTGAAGGATGAATACCAGAGTGATTCTTTGATGGTCCCGATTTAGGGTAATAATAGGATTCCCCCTTTATCTGGACACCTATTTCCACAAAGCTTGTAAGAATTTAATGACTTTGTGACTTTTGCCCTTCTGCAGATCGCACTGAATTGACAAAGAGAGTCCCAAGTTACTAGATGTGGCAAGAGGGTACGAAAGTCGCACACGTGTACACAGTCTGTTTACATATGCTTTGGTTCTTGAGGAAACCAGGTTAAAAATAACTCCTTGTGACACAGGTGGGGGGTAGGACATATCTAAAGAACCATTTCCATTACAAATATAGCCCAGAAAAAGTCTGAACTGTGAACCATTTTAATTCCTTGGATACTTTTAGCCAATACTGCCTTCCTCTGTCAACCTGAGTTCCCTTCCCATTCAGATCCTCTTAGTAACCAGTGATCAGCATCCATTTAAAAACAAAACAAAGCAAAGCAGTTAATGGTTCTCTACCTCATTATTTTTTTGGATTTCGGTAGTAGCATTACCCAGTCACTAGTAATCTGGTTTCCCACACATAGGAACTGAAAAAGGAGAAAAAAAATCTTGTTTTCTGAAGTGCAGAGAGGTAACAGGTCAGATATTCATTAGGAAAGGAAAGACAGAATCGTGCTAGGAAATGTGTGTTATTTGACCAAAAAAGTGTTACATATAGTTTCCTAAAGAAAGTTCTCAGGAAAGGAAAGATGGAATTGTGCTAGGAAATGTGTGTTATTTGACAAAAAAAGTGTTACATATAGTTTCCTAAAGAAAGTTCTTCAGCTTCCTAAAGCTAATTTGGTAAGGCAGAGTTCAACCAGTCCATAACATGCTCGTATCACAATGAATACGTGATAGCTGAACCTGCCTAACCAAAGTATTGCTAGAGAAGTGAATAAAAGATGCGTGATTCCCACAGCATGCACTTCAGAGTAACACACGATGTTGATGACTGACAATCATGTCTTGGAGTTGAGTTTGACTGTGTAAAACTTTGAATGGGTTGCCACTCGCACATGACGTAGGCGTTTCATTTTACAGTCTAAAATGTTGTCAACTGCTAAGGGAATGAAACCAGATTAACATGGTGAGAGAAGAGTGATGCTTCAAATTGTTTAGCACGTAAATAGACATTTAAGAGGACAGAAGGGACAGCAGAGCTGTTATTAAGCAGAGAGTATGTGAAATTGACATTTTTGACAGTTTTTTGTGCTGCCAAGTTTGAGGCTAACACTGATTTATGTGTATTCTTTTGTTTTGTTTGGGGGACTAGAGAAAAATATTGGGAATTTAGTTAGAAGAAATCTACTGTGGCAGTAAATAAAGAAGTGGTGGGCCTGGCAGCTCTATCCCGAAGTAGTTAGAAGGAATAAATGAAGCCCAAGGTTCCTCACTCCGTGTTTAAAACATGAACTTCATCACCTCCAAAATTATTTTCCCTTGTGGTTTTCATTTGTATTATTAGTTCAGGCAGTGTAGAACTTCTCTATCTCTATGGTTCATACAGATGGATGAAAATGCCATTTGAGATGATGTGCATCTGGAAGTAATTGTGAAATAGCAGAAAATGACTTTTTAATCTGATTTGAGGAATAAAAAGGTCTGGGTGGTAACATTTCAACTGCAAGTGTGTATTTAGTCCACCATCATTATTGCTCTGAATTCATTCCCACAGCAGTTGGGGATTGATCCAAAGGCCTTTGATGTCAATGGGAGTCCTTCCACTGACATTAATGTGCTTTGGATTAGGTCTTTAGAAGTCATAAATCTGTCTAGACCATAATTATTTCCTTGAAATTGTTCCTGATGATGTTTCTGCTTTTAGGGAAATTTGTGAAAGTCAAATCACCTCCTGTAGCAGGATGCTCAGATATGTCTGTTACTGATTAATGCACAAACGAGGGAAGATGTCAGATGCTAAATGTATATGAAATGAAGCTTCTCTCCCTGTTGTTTTTATGTTTGGATCAATGCTCCTGCAATGACTTTTAGCTGTACCATCATAATAGGCACTGGAGACCTAAGTGGCAGTATAAATTTAGAGAAGAATGCAGATGTTGCCTAAGTCACATCTTTCTTTTCACTCA